TAATATTCTGAGAAGTTCTGTGATTTTTATTTTTTATCAAATTTACGCATAATTTCACTATTCATAAGAGTTATCTGTAATTTATAAATTCTAAAAGGTCGTGAGCCTAAATATAATTTCTGAAACTTTATATCACGGCATAAATAAAGTGTAAGGTTTGACATGATTTAAGTGTCATCCCTTATTTGGCTATATTTGTGTAAAATAGCGCTGTTTGTTGTTTTTTGGTTAGAATCACAGCAAGCCTGTGGAGCAGAGGTCGCCAAAGTGGTCTATATAGACCCCCAGGGGTCTATGTAGCAAAAGCGGGGGTCGATCTGAGCCAGGGGGTCGAATGGGGGTCGATCCGAATCGGAAGGGTCGATTGCGGGTCGAAGAAAAAACAGTTCTTAATGCGCAAATCACACATACCTAGTTGAATATGTAAAATTTGTGAATTGTTTTTTATAATTGACTTAATATCAGTTTCTTTATAGAACATAAATTTATAAAGGTATATTTAATCGGGTGAAATAAGTATTAACGTACCAGTGGCACGAACTCTGCACTTCTAGTTTATAAATCAATGTGTGCTTGTCCAAATGTCACGTGTGACGAGCATTGACGTTACAAACGCAAATATCATACGCAGTTTCAGTTATCTTTGCAAACTGCGTTGAATATTTGCAATGTCATTATTAAAACTTTTAGATATATACAGGTCATCTTCAAAAATTGAGCGACGATTTTAAACTGCTCTTTGTTGATTTTGAAAACATTGACATCCCTGATTGTATTATTGTGTCATTTTCTGCTCAAATTGAAAACGTGGACATCAACCTGCAAGATGAGCTTACTGAATTATTATCGGATCTTGAAGAAAAGACGCTTTTTAAAAATTTAACTATAAGCAAATTTTGAACAAATATAAATATCATACAGAAATATGAAAAACTTTACGAAATAACTCAGCCATTTATGCTAGCATTTCCAAGTTCCTATATGGTTAAAGCCGGTTTCAGTCACGTAAATTCAATCTTTACTAAGTACAGAACTTAATTAAATGTGGAGTTTCAAGGGGATTTAAGATTAAAATTGACCAATTTTGAACCCCATATAGCGAACCTTGCAAAAAAACACCAGGTACACTCATCTTATTGGTTAAGAAGCAATAAATCTGTAGTTACTTTACTTATTATTTCTACTTATTTATAATTACTTATTATTTAATAAATATTAAGGTATTTAAATTTCAACATTAATATATTTTTCATAAAACTATTGTTACACAATGTACTATTACTTTAATAAATGTTTAAATCATAAAATAAATGTACAAACACAGTATCTAATAGAGTTTTATCTTAATTAACGGAAAATTACTTTTATGGGGGTCGATGGAGATTTCGAAAAATTATATAGGGGTCGATGATGAAAAAAGTTCGGCGACCCATGCTGTGGAGTTTTCTATATTTATTTGTTTCGCTGAAAGTTAGATTGAAAGAATGCATTATATTGTAAACACTACAAGTATAATAATATTGCATGGTGCGTTTTTTCAAGCTTGGGTGTAAAAATCAGTCGAAAGTAGCAATCCGGAAGTCTAACGATGAATTCTAACCCCTAGCGCCATCTGCTCTTAGCTTTACTCGGTCAACTCGGCTCAGGGTATAGAGCGTTCGCTTACCAATGAGGTGAACCGGGTCCGAATCCCAGTGACGACTGGTCGATACGAATTCCACACCAGGCTCGCACCGACCACAGTGCTGACGTAAAATATTCTCAGTGGTAGACGGATCATGGGTTAGAATTTCCTTGCCGTTAGGCTAACCATGGGAGGTTTTGGTGGTTTTCCTCACCATGTAACTCAATACTGGTTAGTTCCATTAAAGAAAGTCCTCCACGAAAGCAAATTTCTCCCAATACTTGATCCAGGAGTTCCCTTGTCTTCTGGATTGGGTTCAAAATTATAAGGCTACGGAGTTGAATATTAGTAGTCGTAAACACAAAATTGGGTCGGTTGTTCAACGACGGTTATAAAAATATCTATATTGATCTAAAGTATCAAAAATTTCCATTTTTTATTTTTATTATCATCATAGCATGCTTCACCGAGTTTCCTTAATCTCTTTTGTAGTTTGTTTTAAGAAGCGCTTTCCCAAAGCGTAAGCGTGAAAATAAATCGGAAGTAGTAACCCGGAAGTTTTGCGATGAATTTTAACCACAAGCATGCGTTTGACTTTGTACAGTTATCCTAAGGTGATCAGAAGTGCTCAAATTTCGAGGACAGTGCTCGAATTTCAATAGTTGTCCTCCGAAACTTTCAAACTCTTTGAGGACAGTGGACAGAAAATGTCCAAGAATTTCTCCGAAATCTTCGCATATTTCTTATAATACAATCAACTTCAGTAAATATCAGAAAAAAAATCATAAATGTGCTTGTTTTTTAAACTTGACAATTTTTTCTTACAGAGAAGGAAAAGCAAAAATTCAACGAAAACTTCTGATATTAACTTTACAAAAACTAATGACTTCAACAAAATATAAGCAAATTTTAATAATCAAATCATATACTTGTTTATTTTGTGCGTGCGAAATAAATATAGAATGCCATAACTGCTTAGCAATGAAATCAAGGTTTATGAAGATGTTTTCACCCCTGAAACTATTTATCAATAAAAAAAGGCAAAAAAAAAAGGTATGCTTGAAAAATAGAGAGATGATAAGGTTTGAAAGTTTTCGCATAAGATAAAGTTTTTATTGCATATATAAATCGCAACGCTCGAATACGCCATCTGAGGAGAACACCAGTTCTCTTTCTTAAACCTATCCTCTCCTCTTTTACTCAGATGTATGGGAATGTATTACAATGTTTACCCCTTTCATATTTCTTGTTTTGTTTTAGATTGTTAGAAACATTTTTTAAAAATTTTCACGACGCCTACTTTAAAAACTATGTTTGAAGCGGTTTAGAATAATGTAAGCATAGTTTTTAAATTTCATAAATAATTAGAAGATTAAAAATTTTCAATATATTAGAAATAAAGAACGAAACTAGCGCACTTCCAACTCTTTCCTATTGTGCAGCTCTAGCGCGACGTAAATTAAGTTCCTACCTACCTAGTACTTCCTACTCCTATAACTATCCACACGACAACCGCAATGATGAAAGCATGCGAGGTGTTACGATAAAGGCCATTTGCATTAGTTAGAAGCCAGTAGTGTTTTTAGGGAAAGTGTAAGACGCCCTGAATACGTCACATACGAAGATAATACACGAAATGCGGAGCAACGCAGAGACTCACCGGCTCTCCTTTGTCCTATTTCATTTTAGTGACATAATTTTTTATGTATGCAATAAATTTCGACACTTAAGTTCATACTTTTAGTTACCTATAAGTTTAACAGCCATTTTTTTAATATATTTGTTAAAAAATCTATTCCTATAATAGGGTGTATCCAGGGTAAATTTACTACCGTTTAGCGGTACCTTCACAAATTCAAATTTTGGAAAACCGGTAGTTTCTCAAAATACTTTTAAAAAAGCAAGTTCTCATGCGAACCCCATTCTCGTTGCAATCTATGGAAAAGAGGAGCTTTTTTGCCAGCTGTCTTTCACGAAAAGGTAGCACGTGTTAGGTCAGATAGTGCAATGTGGTACTGGTCACTTACGCTGTATCAAAACGAGATTTCCCTGAGTTTTTTAAATTGAAACAACGAACTTTACAGGATGTCAAAATTCGAACATTATTCTAATTATTTTGCACATTATCTTAAACACTATTGCAAATTTATTCTAACAGACCTTTATTTTTTATGAAATTTTTTTTTCTCTGTATAGCATAAATCATTTTCATATACTTTTGCTATTATTAAGAGTAATTATTTTATAATTATTTCTTCCTTGAATTTTGCTTTAGCAGGAGAAATATGTCAGTAACAAATCAGCTTGTAAACAAAAGATGTTTATCAGAACATACTTTGTTATTGAATTACAAAATTGAATAATATGACGAAAAACCAATCATAACAGTATGCGAATTTACTTAACTTAATTAAAAAATTTAATTAATCCAAAAAGTATAAAAATAATTTTATGAAAAAGTCTAAACAAAACAGGTTTTTTAAAAACACCTGACGAAAATAGAAAATTTACTCGAAAGTGGGAATTTTTTGACGTAATGCGTGTTAGACGCATGTTTCTCTAGGCCAATAATGATGACTCTTTCCTTCCGAGATGCCAACATGAACCTGATTGACGGATTTCTAGCAGGCAAATAGATTTTACTAATCAGGTTCTCCCTCACACCTCTGAATTTGCATACGCGATTTTTTCGCATTCACTGTGCTTGATCTTATAGGACAGAAGTTTTGCTGCCTGCCACCTGTAGTCCATTTGATGTAAGGATTGGCGATCGAAACGTGCTACAGGTGGTACAAAGCAGAACCCTCTAACTAAGGCAGCAACACTTTGCAAGCTTTCACCATTAACATACGGAGAGTCATAGCAGAAGAAAGTACGTTAGTTTCTTTCTTGAGTTTCAAAATAGATTAAAAACATTTAAGTTTGGCAACCATATGGAACTAAAAACTAGTATATTGAACATAGTTCTAAAAAAAAGTCAAGAAAATTTAAAAAAATATCTTTCACACTGAAATACGTAAAATATAAGGAAAGAGGAAAATATCGCCGGCGTTCTCATACAACTAAAAAAAAAGGAGGAGAGAGAAAGGGTGAGGACATGGAATTGGTCTTTCTCCCAGATGGCGTACTCGAGCGTTGCGATCGCAAATGCTCCTTCACCCGCGTACAGTGAGAGCAGAGATAGCAACTGCTTATGAATTCTTATTAGTTGCTATAATCATGTGATGCAAAGAAAACCAATGGGAGACTAGATCGCTATTGATATTCAGAAATTAGAACTTTGGTTGGCTAACTTCCTGCAAAGCGCTGCGACGTTTTCTAAATAAGGAAATACAAATAATAGTTATTTTGCTTCTCACTAGAGGACACTGCATGAATGAAGTAATAATTTTTTTTTATCAATCGCGACTGGCTGTTTTGCTCGTAATCAGTGCGAGTGCGAAATCGACTACGAGAATCGTACCGAACCAAACAACTGGGAGGAAAACGAGTATTTTTTTCCGAACTGAACTGTTAGTGCCCAAGTGTTTATAAATATTTCTATTTAGGATACACATTTCTTTATCGAAAAATTAATAACTTTTAATCGAATCTAGATTGGTAAGTATCAAGAGTTTTGTTTTGAATTCGTATTAGATTATTTTTGTACTTAACTTAGTTGCCGAATGAACTTCTTTTATTTACGAAATAATTTTGATATATTCGTTGAAATCGGTGTAAAATAACTTATGAAGATGAGTTTGGTTTATCATTTTATTCTTTTTAAAGTAGATAATAATGATAATTGTCCTCCACAGTTATGAAATGAAAAAGAAAACGATTGTTTTTTATTGTCTGTTTTTTGTTTACCTCTGCTACGATCAATGTCAATGCTGAGAGAGCTCTCTTAGGATTTATCCGGAAAGTTTTGTGTTGTGAATTTTTTGTAAATCAATTTTTTTATTTGATATATGAGGTTTACTTTGAGCATTTAAATATAAGGGGAGAATCAAGTTTATAATTGATTCAAATTATTGTTAAAATGTTTAGTAAATTTCTGTCTAAGACTGCTCATTATAATTATGTATTTTTAAATATATATTAGAATTTGAAGATGAAAATAGATAAAATCTTTTGATTTTCGTTTATTTTTTTAAAAATTTATCTAGGTTGTAAGCTATTGTTTGGTGAAACAAATACTTAATTTTACAGGTAAAAAAGATTTTGTGATGCACTCAATTTAAATATAAAGACTTGAAATAGGCTTGATTTTTAAAATTGTCATGCTCATTAATTGTTTGAACACTCTTTAATAAGTTTTAAATACCTTATAAAATCACAGATATCAATTTTGTCAGCATATTTTGATTTTTTAAAATTTATGATTAATGTTTTTTCTTTGTTTGTTGTTGCTTAACGTTCAAGCCCTAAAGTAGTAAACAAGTTGTTAACTTATGTGATTACGGAGCATTAAATAGAATTACTGAAAGCCATAGAAAAAGTGAAAAAATATGGTTCTGTTCTTATCAATCTTTTTTTTTTTTTGGCAAAAATTGAACCCTGTATATAAGAATAATCTTAATGAAAAAATTAAATAAAATCTGAGGTTTTGATTTCTTGCTTTCAGTCAAAACTGGCTAAATATTTTTATTGTATTGTATGAATATTATACAGCAGCGGTTCTTAGCTTTTTTTGGGCTTCGGAACCCTAAATAATCAACTTTCTTTCAGCAGAACCTCTACTTTATAAATAAAGTTTGTTAAGGTTAATATGATTGTTATAATCTATAAAAGATAGTTTTTAAATATTTAACTAAAGGTATTAAGATTTTTAATTGTTTTATCATCGATAATCTTAAATTATGTTATATGAGTAACAGTTGAATTGGCTAATCTTTGCGTTATATTTAAAGGTAGTTATGAATTTGTTTTTGGTGTACATTCATAGGCTGACAGTAAATAAGTAAAGAAAAATTATGGTTTACTTCCAAGTAAAAACTTAAAAGAACTGCGTGTAAATGATTATTTGGGGAAAATATATTTTATTGTTATAGATATTAGTTATTTTATTTTGATTTGAAAAGCGTTATGGGAAATACTAATAAAATATTTTATAAATGCTAGTTTTTTTCATTAATTTTATAATATATTGTTATTAGAAATATTATGTTTTCTTTTAAAATATGCTATTTCTATTTCTTTGGCATTTCATAAAGGGAACCGAAAGTATAAATAAATTAGGAATTAAAGGTTGGAATTAAATCTAATCTGAGATGCCAAAACTCATCTCTGGTTATAAAAAGTACTAACTTGTGGAATCTGTTTTTCCACGGAATAACTGAGCTCCGCCGAACACCGATTGGAAACATTTGTTGTAGAGGATGTTTAGGGGGGTGGGAGGCTGAAATAATAATAATAGAAAATTAAGGGATATTTCCGTATCATGATCTGTCATGCCAACTACAATAGCTAAGGGGCCAAATAGATTTTAAACTTGCAAATTTTTCAAAAAAAAAAAAAAAAATATGGAAATGTTTGCCCGGGGTGGCTATGAGTTATACCTTTCGAGTTAGTCCCTTTCTGTGTTATTGTTGTTTTGTTTTTTTTTTAGTTTCTCGCAGGTCACTGCCCGGAAGTATCCTAGACTTGGCGATTAATCTGCCACAGATCACGATATGGAAATCTCTACGAAAAATAATTTAGAGTGAAAAATTAGCTGGAGGAAAAATGAGAACAGAGCTATGGTAAAGTAAATGATAGGCGATGAGAAACAGGCCATTTGCCTAAGACACTGCATTACTAGGTGTGCAAGTTATATAAAATTATGTTAAAATTGAGACTATTACTTTTAAAAATTATTTTTAGTTTGTGATAATTTTAAAAATGTGTTTTCTAGTTAGAGTGTTTATAGATAATTACCTAAACATAGTTCTTGAATTTAGTGGTCTTCATATTTTTAGGAGCCTTGCACAAAATAAAATATTCATTGAAATTAAAAACCTAAAATTAGAAAATAAAATGTATTTAAGCATCTTTAGCTGATTATTTAAGAAAGCTCTTTAATGAAAAGATTTCTCATTTCTATTTAGTAGGATCTTATTTAGTAGCATTTTATAAATCATTAATACAATTTAAGTGATGATATAAATTTTAAAATAAAAATGCCATAAAAAAATATTAAGTCTGTTCTTAAGAAGGAAATTAAAGAAGAAAATCCTAAATAAGTAATTTATATGCATAATTTATATCAATTTTTGAAAAAAACTAACGGTTGATTAGTTTTTAGAAAGAAAAGATTGATTAAAAAACTGTAGAACGGCTGTTTTTTATTGATTATTTTTTTCTAATTTAATGCGGTAAATATCCTTAAAAGGTTTTCTCTTTGCATATTATTATTTATGCATTTCTTCAAACTCTCATTAGCAAACTTAGATGAAATGAAAAAACTTTCTGCTTGCAATTTATTGACTCTTGTAACTTTCATTGTTTGTTGCCACCTAGTTTTGAACCACTAATTTTTTTAAAAGTGTTATAAAGCTCTATATTAATAATTATAAGTACCAACACTTATTTTTTTAAATTTAACAGTTTTCCGAGAATATAAAACTAATTATTAGCTTGTCATGTTTTACCTTATGCATAACTTTCTTCATGTATCTAAATTTCAGTTAGAAATATTTCAAAAATGAAAATATTTGATAAATATTTTTACATAAATCAACTTTAAATTTTTCTACTAATATAAATAATCTTGCTTTCTTGCGCTATTCATTTTACAGTATATATTATAGAAAAAAAAAATATTAATGGTAAATTTTTTTTCACGAGAATGCTGAAGCATTTTGTGTTCATATGATCGTGTAGCTATATTATGCATAACTGCTCAAATGATATTTATATGGTTTAAATAATTTTTTTCCTTTCACTCACATTCTTGGTCATAAAATGATCAAAAAGCGATAAACATTTAGAGGGGGCATACATAGAAAATTGATGGTGGTCAAGAAAATATTCAGAAATATTTTAATAAAATAAATATTTAAGCATCTAAACATAAAGTTAATTTGTGAAACTGTTATAAAAATTCACAAAAAAATTAAAATTTGGAAGGTGTTTGTTTAAATAACTTTTTATGGTACTCTTTATTCAACTAAATATTTTAGTTTAACTGAAAGGAAATTTAACAAAAATTTATTATTAATTAAAAACATTTTTCGTTTATTTCCTCAGTGGATCAAACTTAGAGCTTACATTTTTCTGTTATGTTCTGTTACATGTCATATAAAAAATGTTAAAATGATTTGTTTCCCTACTTGTATACATGAAAAGGGCGTATAAAAAGCTGAATAATTCCTAATGATTTGAATTAATTTATAATTCAAAGCTGTAATTTTTTGTTTATGATTTTTTAAATATAAAACGGAATTGAGGCTGAAATAGATATTAAAAACAATCTCTCAATTTGGTTTATTTTTGTTACTAATGAGCCAATATTGACTACACTACTTCATAATTGCAAACTTTAAATAGTTACCATTATGATTTTTAAAATATTCTTAAAAATAATTCAATAACTTTAGAAATATTTATTACTTATTACCCATTGATTAGTTTTTGTAAATTTTGATATGCAAATGAGCTAATTAATAAATAGATTTATATTGAAATATTAAAATTGGTTTTACAATTGGATAACCATTTCTTAAATTTATAAAATGTTGCATAACAAAATTGGTTTAGAAATTGTGTTACCGTTGCAACAATTCTTTAGCAAAATAAGTACAAGAGACCACAGTGATTTAGTTAAAATTCGAGGATGAAAAGCTGAGTAAAAGAAAGTTCTAAATCACCTTTTTTAGAAAAATTGAAATTTTATTTCAGTCTCATTTAACTAAACCGGATTGAGTCATTAAACTGAGTCATTTAATTGACTGAGTCGATTAAATTTCTGTGGATAATTAAGTGGCAGTCTTTGAGTGGAAGACTGCTCCAAGTGCATTTGGTAACTAATAGTTAGCAATTTTAGAAACCCTTTTTTTTGTCCTTTCTGCTGTAAACATTATGATGCTAATAGTTCATATAAGTTTCCAAGGATTACAGATTTAAAAAAAAATGGAAGTTATTAGACAGACAATAGATAAAGGTCAAAATATAACCTGCATTTTTTCACACTGAAAACTGAAATTGCGCATTTACAATTCCTCCCAAATATAATGGTCATTTTAAACCTTTTTTTTTATGAAATATTTTTGGCTAAAGCTGTTTAATTTCCTGGTTTTATGATTGAAATGCTTAATTTAGGGCAATATAGGAAAAAGCAAAATTTTTTTAAAGGTGACATTTTTTACATCTAATATTTCCTTAGTCTTTTTTCCGATAGGAAACTGTTTGAACTGTTTTGAATAATTTAAGATGTGGATTATTATTGTTTCAAACCTTTTATTAAAAATTTTAATTTTAATCATATAAATTACCTACCTTTTTTATGAGTGAACGTGGTTATTAATCATATTTCTTTCCGAAACCGTTTATATAACATTTATATATTTAATAGATTGTTGTTATTCTGATACATATTATGTAAATGATTTAAAGAAGTACGTCTAATTTTAAATAGCTCC